GGACTCCAGGATCACGACCTGAGCCGAAGGCAGTCGCTTAACCAACTGAGCCGCCACCCAGGCGCCCTGTTGGTTTTTTTTTTTAAAGCACAGTTAATTACAATTCATCCTTGGTAAAATAACTAGGAGCCAAAATAATTTAACAAATTCTATCCTCTCAAAAAAAAAAAAAAAAGACTCTTAAGCCTATTTACTTACTGAAGATTCCTCTCAAAGCCCAGACGTGAACGCCTCCAGTCAGTGTAAGATCCAGGTGCTTGTTCTTCTGTTTGCCGAGCCCCCCACCCCCGCCTCGCCCCGCCCCGGCTGCCCTGCCCTGGGGGCTGAGCTGTTAGTTCTGGGCTTCATGGGTTCGGCCACCAGGATGGCGGCCAGAGGAGACAGAGATTGGGATAGTTCTAACTTCCTCTGGGCTGGATTTTCTAGCAGAGGCCAAATGTCCCTCCACTCCAGCTGCCGATCGCCCTTCCCCTCTTTGGAGCTCCAGCTACTTCCGGGTGGTGGTAACAACTTCCTGCTGTTAATAATATGCCTTCAATCTGCTAGAAGCCCGCAAGTAGTCCCTTCATTTTCCTCTCTTGAACTACCGGAGTTAGATTCGGTTTCCTGCAGGGACCCCAACTACTAAGTCCATGAAAAGAAACCCTTGTCTGGGTGTGGAGGAGGACGGTGATGTCTTGATTTGCGGGTTACTCGTGGCCATCAAGCATGTTAGTGCTGGTAGAAAATTGTATGACTAAGTTTGTAAACCAATGGCCTGGAACCCGTACCTCCAGATTTGATTGCCTCCTCAAAGCTGACACCTTAGGATGCTTAAAGACCTATTTCAGCAATGGCTAACATGTTAAAATATTCTGAGGTTGCTTGTTAAGATTTTCTTTAGTGTTCATAACCCTATTTTGAATAATGTTGGAAAATGGCCCCCCTCTGATGACAGATTTGATTCAGATCAACAGGCAATATCAAACAACACATATTTGAAAATTGGCAAGAATTGCATTATGTTTCCATGCAAATTTCACTGATTATCTTCAAAATGTCTTTTATACCTTATTTTTCTTTTCTTTTAAGCCAGGATCCAATCAAGTTTCATAAATTGTTTTTGGTTGTCTCTTTAAGTGTTTTTAGGAATACAGAGATGTGAGTTTATGCACATAATTCTGTGATCCACTGTCTCATGTACCATGATAAATATGTCAATGAATCGGGTGGGTCTTTAGTGAAGGCTAAGAATGTTCCTGGCATTGCAAAGGACACAACTTGCATATGGGAGGAGGAGATGAGTCAGTCATTCATAAGGGCCATTAAATTGGTATGAGCAGTCAGCGTTTTCCTTTTTCGTGTTGGGGCACACAGAAAAACCTCTTTCCATAGTCTGCTGGGGTAAACACAGGGCGCTCCTTGGGGGCTGTCTGGGGCTCCAGCTGCCTCAGGTCCCCCTCCTAAGGGCTGAGGGACCTACATTTGTAGTATGGCAACTTTATGGTTTCCCAGTTTATGTCCCAGGGTATTCTTATTTCAAATCTCTATCACTTTAGATAATCAGGCATGTTTCTTCCTCAAAAGAGCCTAGCTTAGCGTCTTGTTCCCCTTCAGCAGCCACTAATACCCATTAACCTGGAAAAACAAAGACAAAGGTGGCCCTTTTTCCACGTTGTTTATTCACCGTCAACTAGCTACATGAGGGGGATAAACAAATGAGTACGAACTTTTTGGGGAGAATGGGGTATATAGGCGGAAGGGTGGGATTTAAACAGAAAATAATCTTACACACAGCTAGATAGAAGATTAACAGGTATCCTTTTTTTTTTTTTTTTTTTAAAAGTATCCTCTGAGGGTAATGGAGGAAGATAAAATCATCATTAGCAACTTATCATTGCGTAACTCAAAACAAAAGTCTCAGAAAATGGTTTGCATTTTCTGTCATGATTTAAAGATACTCTTGTGATAAATATTTCCAACACAGAAAAATAAAGACTAACACCAAGTAACAGATTTATACAACGCAGAGGGAAGTTGAGCGCATGAAAATAGCTATCATCTGGTAGCAAAAATAGATTTATGCCAATGTTAATATCAAAATGAAAGACATTCAAATGAATTATGCCAATACATTGGAACTATTATTCCTAACATCATAAGAACAACTTTATTGCTCCTATTCGTAACTAAAAGGCCGGAGAAAATTCTATGATAGCTTGAGGGCATAATATAACTAACTCATGGACTATGTGGTAGGCCTACAGCAAGGTTCAATAGCCAAATAAAAACTTTATTCTTTTTCTTTTAGGGTTGACACTGTTTATAGTAGAATGAGACCACTCATCATAAATCTGGAAAATACAGATGAGGGACAGTCCTTGAAGCCCAAGCAAGTGATTTACTGGAAGTAATTAAAGGTAGAATATGAGAAAAGCAGCAGTTCAAATGAAGTAAACATGAAGAGATTTTTTGTTTTGTTTTGTTTTTTTAGCTTGTATATTTTTCTCTTCCAGAGAGCCCCACAGGAAGCACACAAAGACTGTGGGCTACTGGGGCACTCTAGGGACTTGATGGAGGATTGGACTGTTGGCCTAAAGTGCACTCTGGCTGTTTAGTTAGTCCCGGAAGCAGCCTGACTTCTGGGAGGTGAAGAGCAGGGAGAGTCGTGCTAGGATTCTGATGATTACATTTGACTCCGGGAAATACCAGCCGAGGCTCTGGCGCCTGCAGCTGGAAGGGATCTGCTGCCAGGCTACACAGGAGGCTGCTGGACTCTTCCAGAATGATCTGCAGCTTGGGGTAATCGATAGAGGCCACGGGCACATATGAAGTACAAGGTAGTCGACTGCCCACAGTCCCGTTTCCAAGAATATATATGTTAATTCGCCATCAATTTGGGATGGAATAATCAGGAAGAAAAGGGAGGTTTAAGCATGTATCTCAGATGGCGTAGTGATTGCAATGATTGAATTGGGGTTTTCAAAGTCTAGAAAGTTAAACTCTACCTCCATTCTTCCCAAAGAATGCCACGTTTCAGTTTTCTTTGTCTTAAAAGTAGAAAATGCCCCAGAAATACAAATGAGATGGGAAGGCGCTATTGAGGATAGGGACTGAAGGAAGAAAGAAGCCATTTCCCCCTCAAGGTAGTTTTAAGACTATAATAACAGGATGCATCACTAAGCTGTTTAAATTTCAGAAACGCCCTTTATAGGGCTGGTACTGACTCGTAGGTTTTTAAATTTGCATTTAGTTCCGTGTCATATTCTAATTTATCACCACTTCCATCTCAAATAAGATGACTACAATGGTGGTATTTGGTCCATTTATCCTTGTGATTCCAAAATAAAGCATAAAGTCAATTGAAATAACAGCAGTGGGACAATTAAAAAATTTCCAGATACTGTATGACAGAGCTACATGCATTCAGGCTGCATGTCTTGTTTTGTTGTGCTGGGTTTTTGTTTGTTTGTTTGTTTGTTTTTTTGTCTTTTTGGAGCCAGCTTCTAGAGGAGGCCTATTTAGTAGTCAGTATTGCTAAAAGTCTACATTTTCCTTCATAATTTGAAAACTAGATTTGGTTTTCCCTTGAGTATCCTTAAATCTACAGCCTGCTTTTTCCTGTCTGTGAGGAGGATTTGGATACATGCTTGAAAAGAAAAGAACAAAGCACATATACCAAAGAATTTGATTGTGTCATTGAAACTGCTTAGAAATGGAAATGATATTCACATTGTATTCATCTTGACTCCTTGATTTGGAAGGAATGAATGTAATATTTAATGAGCTATGTATTGTTTTTAAATGCTAATCACTTGCAGATTCCAAAAGGCTACTAACCCACTTTAAAACTCTCCATTTTGAAAATGCAATGCTGTCCAACTACTTGGTTATTTGGTGTGACACTGAAAAAATCATGCATTCTTTTTTACCATTATTATTCTACTTTTCATTTATAGAATTCTACATGCTCTGAAATGTTTTAAATATCCGTTAAGTGTTTTCTGGAGAAATCTTTTTACTACACCATTATACTTGATATTCCATAGGATTATTATGGACATTAGAGTAAAAGGCTTAAAAATTAGGCTTTGGTTTTAATGTAATCTGGGCAGAAGTTGGCATTGCTTTGATAACACTTCAACTACTGCACAAATTGTATTATTGTACTTTAACATTTAAAATGACAAAGTTTCCCCTTCTAGTAGTTATAATCTGTATTATTTAAGACTGCTGCAAAACTCACAAGAGTGAAATGAGTAAGAAGTATAGGAAAGAGATAAGTCAAAGCTTTATCAGAACACAACACAAAGGAAGAACATCAATTCTCTACATTTATCTATAAGGCAGATGGTCAAACTTTTTATACAAGATCTAAAATATGGTGTTATTAAGAGGTAGAAAACACCAAAACAGTATTTAAGAAAAACTTGTTGAGTTATTTAAAATAATCAGTTATTTTGCTAAACTTTTAGAAAGTCAAACTGTTGTGTGGAATGCACTGTACGTTTTAGACTAAACTGGAACATTCCATACTCAACAGAGCTGTGGTAAAGTGTGGGGAAACTGGGGGTGGGAGTGAGATGCGAAAAACAGTTTAACTTGTCAAGAGTTCCGTTCTCACTAAGGAGAAATCTACTGTGTCTCTGGGATGCCCCTATAGCATTTAATTAATGGGAATTTCTCAGACTGATGACAATTTCTCTGTGTAACAGGGTACACTTTTGCACATAAGGCAATACTCCTCTAGTGAGGGATGAGCTCAAATGCTTTCTCCTCTTCAGGAAGGTGCCATATCTATCTGATAGAAAAACACACATTCCACTAATCTTATACCATCCTCCCAACCACCAAAATGCAAATGCAAATATTCTTCAGACTCCAGCACCAGCAGAATTGTTCTGTATGAGCAATTCAAGAGCTGTCGGAGGCAAAAAGATATCTGAGCTACCAAATTAAACCTGGGTAGCTTATGCATAAGTGAGTAACCCTGGGTATCCGTATTTCTTAATGCACCTGGGAGAGATAAATTTTTTTCTCCAACACAATTTTATAAGGCATAAATTTAATTTGAATTTTCCTAACCTTTGGAAAATTAGTGTTAAAGCTTCTTTTTTAACCCACACGTTAACATTCAATCTTTCATTTTTATTAAATAGTTTATATATAAAATGAAATATCAAGGTGTTCTACGTTCATATAAACAATCGTGATAACATTTGAAATTGTAAAGAAACCTACTGAAAAAATACATACTTAAATACTTACAATGCTAAGCTAAGCACAGGCGATCATTCTAAGTAATTTCTTTTAAATACACAGACACAGGTGTGTGGCTTCGGAAAGCAAACACAGGAGAAGTAGAAGGGTGTATCATTCTTCTTTCCTTTTTCACCATAAGACAGGATGGTCCAGTTTGGAAAAACCAAGATCTTTTCTAAGTTCCAAATAGGTGCCGTTGCTCACCCAGGAGTCATCGTTGGATTTCCTGCGAAAGATAAAAAGAATTTCTTGAAGGCTATTGAAAATACTGTCATATCCCCTCTTTCCCTTTCCCTCTTTTCTTCCCCCCCACCCTGGGCCTGGCTGTCATTCCACGTGCATATACAATATCCCTGACAGTCTCATACGGGGACTGTGAGGGAACAGGAAGCCCGGAAACGATTTTGTTACTTCTGACTTCGGCTTCTCAAACTTAGAGGCTGCGAAAAATGGTGCTTCAGAGAGAAGCATGGATAAGGGAAGAGTCTGTCATACATAAAACGTGGCTGGGATGACGGCCACCACCTTGGGTGTGACTATGTAAAAGCTACAAATCAACCAGGTTGTTCATATCAAGTTATAAGTTAGCATTAAAAACAGAAGGAATTAGAAGACGTAAGAGTCAGGAGAGAATAGCCTTGGTTCACTATTCTTTGAATAGATAATATATTAGATAGATAAAAATTCAGAAGGTCCAAAAGCGTGGATAGTAAAAGTCTTCTTTCTATTCCCATCTCCCAGACTCCAGTCCTTTTTCTTCAGAGGCAACGATCTTAGAAGCTTCACTCTTTCAGAGAAATTTCATGCATGTATGAGCATGCATGCATACACACCCACACTCCACCCCTCTCCCATTTTTTACACAATGACAGCCCTGGATGGCGTCCTACCCCTTGAGTTTTTGACATAACAATATCTACTGGAGATCATTTTCCATTGTCACAATAAGGTCAGCAAACTATAGCCCAAGGGCCACATCCAGCCTTCTGCCTACCTTCGTATTATTGCGTTTTTTTTTTAATTGAATGAACATACAATGTTATATTAGTTTTAGGTATACAACATATTGATTCAACAGTTCTATACATGTCATTATATCAGTGGTCACCATAGTAAGTGTAGTCACTGTCTGCCACCATACATTATTATAATATTATTGACTACATTCCCTGTGCTGTGTTGTTCATCTCTGTGACTTATTCATAGGTAGATCCCCCTTTAACCTTAATCCCTTTTTACTGGACCACCACCATGCCCATTCGCTTCACTATTGTCTATGGCTGCCTTTATGTTGCACAGTGGGCTTGGGTAATTACCACTAAGACCTTACAGCCTGCAGAGCTAACAATATTTACCATTTGTCTTTTATAGGACAAGTTTGGTGACTTTGGCAGTAGGGAATCCTGATTTCTTTTTAAACAGTTGCATGATATTCCATTGTAGAAATGGACCACAATTTAACAGGTACCTTACTGGTGAGCCTTTAGGAGGTTGTTTTTAATCTCTAGCTATCAGAGACATGTTAATAATAATATGATAGACATATACCCATATGTAATTTTGTATGCACGTGAGTATAGTTACGTTAAAAATTCCTGTAAGCAGAACTGCGATGTCAAAGAGCGCATTCATTTGTAATTTCGTCTGATATTTCATGTTTTAGAAGCAAAAGCGGACAGTGCCTGTTTTCCCATGCTCTCGGGGACACAGATTTTTGTCACACTGTTTTCCCTCTTCTAATAAAGGGATGTGTCTAAAAGGAGCCGGTCTGCCTATCAGACACTTTACTATGACCCAGAGGAGCCCGGCTCTGTCCCAACTCTAGTTTCCACTTGGAATTCCCGCTGACGGGCCTCTCGGTCACCTCTCTGCCAGGACCACTACTGCTGAGGATTCTTGCCTTTTCTCCAGCTCTTTGCCCCATCCGATACTCTGATAATTTCACAGACAATCCAGAGGAAAAATAGCTAAGGCCACCTGGCTGTAGCCGTGTTTGGTCCTTTTTCGTTCCATTCTAGACGGTTGCCACAACAGCCTACGTAACATTTTATAAGTTTGTATTTAAATGTCAATTCCTTTTCCATAGAGCTCCACAGACTTTGTGAAGTCATTTTTGATGCTTTCACATTAGGTCGAATTGATGAATCTCTCTTCCTAGTTCTTGAGACAGCTTAGTTACCTGCAAGTTTTAATGATCCTAAAAAATACTGCAGTGAACATCTTTATAAATGTAATTTCCCTTGTTTAAAAATGACACTAGATGATCTATGAAAGAAAAAAAAAGAATTGGCCTACTTAAGGGTATATGTGTATGTCTATCAATTGATCAGTAAATCAACGGATCAGTCTGTTCATCTATCCATTTATCTATCTCTTGCCTTTTAAAAAAATAGTTTAAGGTGTCTTGTTTTTAAAATATTTAAACACAACCAATGAATCATTGAACACTATCAAAAGTTAATGATGTACTATATGTTGGCTAATTGAATATAAATAGAAAAATAAAAATAAATAGAATATTTAAACAAAGTTATGAATATTTTGGGATGAAACTCTGGCCAGTGCAATAATCTTCATTTGCGTGTAACCAGAGTTTGTGGAAATGATCAGAAGGGACCTGACAAAATCCACAATGACTCTAGGGGAAAAAAGCATTATATTTTGGGGATAAAACATCACTTGTTGCTATTTTGCCGTTTTGAAATACATACTTTATTGCTGCTGCTGCAAGATGAGGAGCTAATTCCTGTGGTCCATTAAAACACAATGACAACCAAAAACAAAAAAAACCCCCAAACAACAAAGCTCTGGCTGCTCTGAAAAGTAAGAGAGGGGTGGAACCGGCAGGGCAAGAATCGGCTGCTTTCCTCTGTGGGCCTCGTTTGTTTATTTATTTTTTTAAGGAACAAACAAAAAAGCCCCCCAAACCGTACAGAGCCCTGGCATGTAGGCAGGAGGGCCAGGCCCCAGTCCAGGACATTTCACTGGGGCCTTCTGT